TATCATCTGCCCCATCATGACAGCTACTATCCCAGAGGTGACTGGAAATGTTCGGGCAGCTCCACCAACAAGGTCGGCTCCCCCTGTCAGGTTCCGGCCAGCCTGAGTGTGCTGCAAGCTGAGGCTTTGAGGGGAAAATAACACATCCCCTGAAAATAAGCCCTAGGGTGTCTTGTTGAGGAAAAATAAATATAAGACCCTGTGTTATTATCAGGGAAACACAGTAGGAAAGGTGAAAACTAAATGAAATCATCTAACTAAAGCACTCGATCCATGCCTGGCTTACAGTAAACCCTGAGTAAGTGGTGGCTGTGCTATTCCTAGTTTGATGATGATGATGATTGTGAAAATCAACCTGATAATAAGGGGTGAAGTTGTATCATTGGTCAGGATGCTGAAAGGAAACAGAATTCACCCCAGATGGTTTAGATGAGCAGACTGTCGTGAAGAGACAGAGGTGTAACAGCCTCAGGGAGTCACCCATGATGGTGAGACAGATACCCAGGGTCTAGCAACAGCAGGAAACTAGCACAGCATGGGCTGGGACAGGTGTGTGCAGGGACAGGTGTGGGCAGGGACAGGTGAGAGCAGGGAAGAATGTGAGCAGAGCCCAGTATGGGGGCACCTGGCGGGATGTGGAATGGACAGAGGACTACGGAGCAGAGACAGGGCAGGAGGCCACACTCTGACCTCTCACCTCCCACCTTCCTGTCTCCCATTTCCTTCTGGTGCATGCATACATTGAGCCCACCAACAACGCACACAGAGATCTAGCAACATCACAGAGCGCAGGGTGTCTGAGAAATGGCAGGTGGCTCTGTGGGACTGCAATAGAGGGGGTGGCCTAGGGGAAGCAGGCTGTTCTGCAGCAGTGAGAAGAAGTAGAGGGAAAGTTAGGGGCTGTCAGGTCTTGAGAAGCCTTGGCTGTCATGCGCCTGGGTTTTATGGGCAGTGGGGATCCCAGAGGTTGGTGGGTAAGGAGGGAGCAAACATGTGCCCCGTGCTTCTGTCCCATGAATGGGGGATGCAGGGTCCGAGGTGGGCCCCCTCCCCAGCATTCTTCCCATCCTCCTGCCAGGGCCTCGAGGTCTCTGCTCCGAGGGGAGTCTTTCTCCACTGTCACTCCTCTTCCAGCTCAACCTCTTCTCTCTTGCTCTGTTAAATGCCAATGTGAGTGCGAACCATGGCCGACCTCCCATCTGTTCAAAGAAAGTACATATTTACTGAATCATAATAATATATTAAGCCTAAAATGTTAAGAAAAAAAAAATCAAAAGGGAATGAAAACCAGGCAAATGTTCTCCCTGCCTCTGCTTTGTGATGGGAAGCTATGAGTTTGGTGACTGTGTTCTTAATAATTTATAGTACTGAGCCTTCACCTTGAAGCCAATGTCTTCACTCAACAGGCAAACGCTGGTAAGAAGAAACGGTCAGCCACCAATGTCACAGCCTAAAATGTTTCTGAGCCTTATTAACATAGGCTGCTGAGGGGATGTTCCTCTTTCAATTATAACCAACACCTAGCTGGAGCCTTCTAAATTGTTCCTTTTAAAAGGAAAATGTGTTTTTATTTTCTGATGATAATAGCTAACATATACTGAGAACTCATTATGTACCAGGGACCATATGTACCAGGGTCATATATTAACCCATTTAATCCTCAGAACAGCCCTGAGGGGTTTAACAGATGAGGAAACTGAAGCACGGAGAGGTTAAGTAACTTGCCCAAGGTCACACAGCTGCTCAGTGGGGGACACATGCCTCAAGCCCAGGGCACCTTTGAAATTTAGAAAGAATACATCGAAGTGATGCCTCTAATTCCATCTTAGATTTACTTCATACTTAACTGGTAGTAAACCACCAATATTTTATGTTTCTAAAGATTGGTAAGAAAGAATAAAGCAGCCGCCAAGCAATTTCATTCGTTCACTTTCATGCATCGACTCAAAAGGTGTTCTGTGAGCTCCGGAAGCCAGGTGAGCCCCCTCGGGAACCGTACGTAGTCCAGGAGAGAGGCGGGCGTGAACGTGGGCCATGCAGCCACCTGCACGTGCAGCCACGGCGCCGCGTACTCAAAGGCAGAGAGGACACAGAAGTGACTTCCAGGAAAGTGTAAGGGGCCCAACAAGATGGAAGTGAAATGGGCCAGATCCACAAGAGCCTTCATTTTGATCAAGAAACTAGAATGGATCCTAAAGCCTCGGCAGGGCTGCTGAAAGGCATCAGCAGGACGTTGGCACGACCTGGGCTTTGGAAAATCCCCCTGGCACAGCCTGCACAGGCAGCGCCATCTGCCAGTTACATCCACACGCCAAGTTCAACCCCTGGGTCACCGTTCTGGCTCCACCACCCGGGAGCTGTGTAACCTTGGGCAGCACACTTAATCATACGATTGTGCATCTGTAATTTGCAGATAATCATAATATCTATATCACAGGATTGGTGTGAGGAATAAAAGTGTTATCATAGATAATAACAGCAAAAGCACTCAATAAGTATTAGCTACTAATAGCAGTATATTGGCTATTATTGTTAAAACTATTATTATGATGATTAGTGGCTAGTATTAATAATAGCTAACCTTTATTGAGTGCATCCTCTTATTAGTATCACCATTATTATTGTCCCTCAGGGGTTGGAAATAAAGGGCCAGAGGCAGCAGTTGCCATAAATCCTCATCTAAATTATACCAGAATGGTGCTTTGGGTCAAAAGCCAGTATTGGGTCATGATATCAATTTAGAGAGTTATAATCAGCCTTTTTAAAATGGAAAGAGAAGGAGGTGGGAACTATCAGAGTGCATTGCTCATCGTGCAATGACTTTTGTGAAGCTTTTATTTCCATTTCGTACAAATAAACACACACACTTACATACATCGACGTGTGTATTGGGTCACAATGTAAGATGTTTTTCTAGTTATGTATTTGTAGTCAAGAAAGTGTTAAAGAACCTAGAGTAGAAGGTACTGTCACCATTCTTCCTCGGGGTCCTGCCTCTCAGATGCTCAGGGGACCATTATCTTGCCAGCTGGTGTTGGGAGGTTGAGCAGCAAGATGGCAAAGCTCGGAGCCCTGGGTTTGGGCCCCAGTGATACGATTTGATATCTGTGTATCTTAGGTCATGCCCCTTGCCCTACCATTGCTTTCCAGGGATATTGTCAGAATTGGGATCCAAAAAGTGTCACTCATCCATCTTAATTGGCTCTAGGTACAACTCCAACGCATGGCAGTTTATGTAGTAGTGACAGCTTTGCCACTAACTCACCGTGTGGCCTTTGGCAGGAGGCCATATAGCCCTGGGCCATTGCTGCTGCATCTATAAAATGGGGATAAAATAGTTATCGTAAATGCTTCGCAGTTATAATGAGGCACCAAAAAAATCACAAATGTTTGCACTTTTTGAAAAATGTGGATCTTCAAGCCAAAGAGCTGCCTCTGATGTCCATGATCAAAGGCAGAACTAGCCTCAGACCAGATCTGAGCCACCCATGTGTTTGGTTTAGCCTTCCAAGTATTGAAATTTTTGAAATAAAACATATACAATGGGTAACATATTAAAATCATACATTTCATATCTAAATTTCCAGCTTGTCTTAAAAATTCACAAGACCCCTCACCCCGTGCACTGGCACAGTGCACACAGGCTGCACAGGCAGGGAGCACCCCTGCCCTGAGGACAGACCCCTCCTCCCAGCTGCCAGGGGCTCCACCCAGGCACTGAGGCCCAATGCTGGCACCATTTATCTCTAACAGGACAGCAAAGCAGGGGAATGTTTTGTGTTCCCACCTTGCTCTGAAAAGTGGAGCCATGGAAAGCCAGAACTGAGAAGCCTGTATGTTCCAAAAGAAATAAGAGATTTCCTATATCTCCGTGGAGGATATTCTGCTTTCCTCGTGTTCTGATGTGCTGGCACTGTAGGGGGTTGTGCTTGCTACCCCAGAGCTAAAGGAAGACATTTGGAGGGAGAAAGAAGGTACTATCACAAAACTCCCGGTGGGTGTCAGTGTCGGGCAAAAGTGTTAAGATGGGGAAAGGAGGAGAAAGGGCGATTATGAGCTGCCCATCAGTCAGACGCCCTAGCCACACCCAGATGTACAGGGCAGGTGCTGCCCAGGTGCCAGCGGTGGCACTGATGAGATGGATGAGTCTGGAGGTGAGAGAGTCTCTGAGGAGCTGGAAGAATGGGAGGGAGGAGCTTCAGGGAAGTGTAATGGAAAACGCTCAGAGCCAAACAGATCTGGGTTCCAATCCTACCTTTGTTACTTGCTGCCTTCGTGACTTTGTTAGAGGTTCTAAACTTCAGTTTTCTCATCTGTCAAATGGGGGTTGGTTAACTGGCTAATTAAACAAATGTTTATTAGGTGTCTACTATGCACCAGCCCTTGCTCTAGGTGCTATAGATCAAGGGTGAGCAAAACAGGTAAGGCTTCTGCTCTCAGGGAGCTTACATGCTAGTGGAAAGGAATGGACAATAAGCAATTAATTATGCAATAATCTGGTGGCGGTGAGTGTGGGTTGGTTGTTTATACGTTGGCTCCTTTCCAAAAAGGGTTGGTGAGAGGAATACCATCTTAGGATGATTTAATAAGATAATATATACAAAGCGCTTACCCCAGTGCCTGAACACAGGCATTCATTTCACACATGCTTAAGGAGCCCTTAATGTAAGGGGAACACCATAGGTGGATTTTGATCCAGGGGCAGTACTAGGTACCAGTGCCCTCTGCATGTGTTGTCAGCTTCCTTGGCACCCATCGCTGGGGGAGGCTGAGGCATCTTCACGTTGGACAGGCTAAGTAGCAGAAAGAGACAGGAGTCATGATCAGGGGTCCTCTGCCCCGTGCACGCTGGGTGATGGCAGAGCGGCGCCCTCGCCTTCCCAGCCTGAGATTCTGGGTCCGCGTGGCCACGAGTGAATCGAGATGCAGGCTGGGCGGGACTATTGCTTTGCCTCCTGAGACCGGAGCTCACGCCCTTTCTTTGCCTTGCCCGGCTGCAGATCACTCGGCCCTGAGCGCGGCGCGGACCCTGTTCGTGGATGTGGAGGAGCGCGCGCCCGAGGCCATGGACGTGAAGGAGCGGAAGCCGTACCGCTCGCTGACGCGGCGCCGCGACGCCGCCGAGCGCCGCTACACCAGCTCGTCGGCCGACAGCGAGGAGGGCAAAGCCCCGCAGAAGTCCTACAGCTCCAGCGAGACCCTGAAGGCCTACGACCAGGACGCGCGCCTGGCCTACGGCAGCCGCGTCAAGGACATGGTGCCGCAGGAGGCCGAGGAGTTCTGCCGCGCAGGTGAGGGCGGGGCCGGGGCGGGGCCTGGGCGCAGGTGGGCGCAGGTGGGCGCAGGTGGGCGCAGGTGGGCGCAGGTGGGCGGGAATGCGAGCGAGGCGCCTGGTCAACGCCAAGTCTGCTGTTTTGGCACCTACGCCTTTGAAAGTCTGCCCTGTAGTTCGTTCTTAGCTCATTTCTGTTCTTGCTCACCCACTTCCCTGGCATGGTGAGGTGGTTAGGAGTTCGGCTCCAGTGTCCGACTACCTAGAGTTGAGGTAGGCTCCCCCCTGGGCCATGTCACACAGACTGGAGTGAGAAGTCTCCCTACTGCAGTGAATTGTGAGGACTTTAGAGAGAGGTCACATGATAACACCAAATAAGTGCTGGGTAAATGGTAGTTCTTACTTTTGTTACTGATTCATTCAACGAACATTTTAGCAGCCTCTTTGTGTCAAGCCCCATGAGACCTTGGAAGGGAGACACTCTTGAGGTTAGACCTGAAAACAGCCATTTGGAGGATATCCTGGCCTCTGACTCCCTCTCCTTCACTTCCGTTATACATTAGTCACCAAAGCCTATCCATCCTATCCCGAAATCCCTTTCAGATCTATCCCTCTTCTGCACTCCCTCTGCCAGTTTCTACTTCCAACCTCCATACTCTCTCTTGGAGGATTAGCCACCCCCATCCACCCAGAGCTGCCCACCTTGAGCCATTCTCTGCCCTGCAGCCAGAGGGAAGCTCGGGCCTGTGCATTAAACTGAGCTCCCTAACTCAGCACACAGGGCTTCCCCCAATCCCTTCCTGCCTTCCTAGCCTCCGTGTCCCCTGCCTCTCAACACCCCGCTACTCATAGTCCAGCCCGCTGAACTACTCATCGTCCCCGTACCTGCCATGGAGTTTGTTTCCTGCCCTGCTGCCTCAGGGATTCCTGCTTTTGTGCTCACAGGGGCTTGAGCCCTCTGAACACCTGGTGGGTCCCAGCCAATGCCTGATTCTTCCCTGCCCTCCTCTCCACACAGGGTCAGCGGAATACTGGCTAGGTAATTTATACACATTTTGAGGATGTTACTTAATCCTTACAACCACCCCAGGCTCTATCATTTGCCCCAGATCACAAACATAAAAGGAGCTGCTCACACACAGCCCACCTGTGACCTCTTCATTTCCACTGTCTCCCACAGGACAGGTGCCCATGCAAGCTGACCTGTTAGCAGGGCTACCTCTCAGGCAGGAAAAATGGGGAGTCCCTATCCCAGCTTATGATTAAAGCTCAAACTCTGGCATCAGACAGATCTGGATTTGAATTCTGGCTCTGCCATTCTTACTACCCTCAGCTTCCTCACCTGTGCAGAGGGATAACAGTCCTGAATAGGCAGGGCATGGAGACTGCAAAGACAGCACTTGATGACAGTTCCCAGTACGAGCAGGTGCTTCAGAAACACTGCCTACTATTGTTGTCTCTGGATCTCACTGGGGGAAGAGAAAGAATGGCCTCAAAGCTCTCCTCCTGCTCTGTCCTACCCATGTGTGACAAGGCTCAGCAAACCCTGCTTGGCCTGGATGCTAACATAGCACACATTTCTCAGAACAAGGATCCCCTTATCTTTGCATGTAGCAAGTAAGAACCATTCTCATCCCATCGGCAGGCATGTGTGTAGCAGTTTACAAAATACTCTCCCTCAAATTATCACCCTGCATCCCTCAAAAATCCTTTTTGGGATTGCAGGTCATAGATTATCACCCCATTTTAAAGACAAGAATGTTGAAGCTCAGGTGATCATCAGCCCAAGACTAGATGTTGAGTAAGGTGGGTTGTCAACCGTGCCCTGTCTGCAGGAAAAAGGCCAAAAGGACATAAGGCAAACAAAACATGCGGATTTCTCACATATGATGAAATAAATCTTCTGGACACATCAGAGGGGTGGGCTGGTCCAACAGGATTGCTGAGCCCTTGGCGTTGGCCCTCACCATGCATTTCTCCAGCCCCGAGATGTCTCGGCTCACTCAGATTGACGGTGAGCCTGGCTGCTTAAAAGAGTCTGCAGGGCAAGCCATATGGAAATCAATGCAGCTCAGGCTGTTTATTGCAACTAAATTTGATTTTTCACTTAATGTAGCAGTCATTCTTCATAACATGTGAGTGGCCTCTCTCGAGAGGGCTGGCCCAGCAGAGCACAGATAGGGCTGGAGTGGGGCGTGTTGATCAGGGAGCCGCCAGGGAGTGTGATGTGCGGGGAGGGTGGGAAGCAGACTGAAGGATTTAGGCTCTGATGCCGAGTTTTCTTTTTCTTAGAAAGAGGAAAAGGAGGAGGGCCGATTGGAGCGTGGTGCACAGGAGTGATATGCAAAATGTTTACCATCTGGTCTGGCCCAGCCCCTAACCAATGGGAACAGTCTGCCTGGCCACTGAGCAGAGCCCAGGGGCCCCTGCCGTGCCAGGCCTGCTGACATTAACTGTTTGTTTAGTACCTGGACTGTGGGGAGACGGAAAGGAGGTGGGTAGCAAAGGGGCTGGAGCCAGAGCAGAGGCCGGAAGGCACTGGATGTGGAGGGAGGTGCAGAGGTGGCTCGGGTGCCAGCTGTTTACCAACCAGAATGGAAGTACTTCACAACTGTAACTTCACACACAGCTGTGCAGCATATGCCAGCCGGGTGGCGGTCTGGGGGCACACCTCCCACTGCCACGGCCTGGCTCAGCAACGTCCAACTGGTCTCCCGCCTCCTCTCCCCTCTCCCCTTACCCATGGCCTGCAGCACTGCAGGGTGTGTGCGTTTAACTTTCTCAGGGCTCACTCTGCAGCAGGTGTGATAGGTGTTGGATACAGAAATGACCAGGACACTCGGGAGCACAAGGGGGTTATTTGGTAAGAGTGAGACACCAATTATTAATAGGCTTCCATCTCTGCTGGCTTCCTCCCCACCTCCCAGTAGGGCAGTACTTCTCACTGTCCTTCGTGGGCTTGTCCTATTTGGCAGTGGCCCCGGTTTCAGGATGCCTTTAAAGCAGGGGTCCTCAAACTTTTTAAACAGGGGGCCAGTTCACTGTCCTTCAGACCATTGGAGAGCCGGACTATAGTTTAAAAAAAAAAAAAAAAACTATGAACAAATTCCTATGCACACTACACATATCTTACTTTGAATTAAAAAAACAAACAGGCAAAAACACCCGCATGTGGCCCATGGGCTGTGGTTTGAGGACGCCTGCTTTAAAGCCTGGGCCTCCACCCCTCTGTCTTCTCACTCTGTTCTCCGTGTTCACTCTCCTGCACCTCAAACCTCTCCTCTGCGCTCCCACCCAGGTATTTCACCTGCCGCTGCGCTCCCAGAACACTCTCCATGGGGCTTTCCACTTCGGCCTTTCACCTTTAATCCTGTGTTTGACTGTGGTTCCCCCACGCGGCTGTGAGCTCCGTGGAGTCAGGCTCCGCCCTCCCCACTGCTGTGTCTAGCCAAGGCGCAGGGCCAGCTGGGGTTGGTTTAAATGCGCGTGCTGCCTGAGCATAAGCCCAGTCCCCCAGATCATTAATGTAATTGGGATGGGACCCTCAGTGCCTTTGTCTACTTCCTCTTCCCCCCAACCCCGAGACACTCCTGGAAATATTAGAAATGTGGGAGAAGCTGTCCCTAAATAGACACTGAATTAACATTCAGGAGTGACAGGGAGGCTGGTTTCCCCTTAAGGTAGCATTCACTTTGTCACTCAAATATTAATCCCTGGGTGAACTCCCCTCACCCACGTCTTCCCCAACCTCAGTCCTGGGCATCGCCAGGGTTTCCTGAGCCACTGCCTGTCCCCCACCAGGGCCCCACCAGGGGTACCATCTTCCTGCCAGGCTCCAGACTTTTGTAACCCGGCCAGAAAGGATCTTCTGGTCCTAGGGGAGCTGTTTAGGTCTCACTCTGTTGAGAGCCTTAAACAGGGCTCCTGCTCTGCTCAGGACTTGCTCACAAGTCCTCCCTGGAAGACAGGACCCAAAGGCCACAATTCAATTTAGCAGACATGAGCCCCTCTGAGTTCTGGATTCTGCTGTAGGCACAGGGATTTAGGAATAACCAGGACATGGCGCCTGCCCTCGTCGAGGTGATCTCTGCAGAGGAGACAGACCCTGGAACAGCTCTACTGTGCAGTATAACTGGCCCAGGGCCCTGGGAGGGGGCTTGCAGGAGGAAGCCATGGATTCTGCACAGGTGTAGGTACTGCAGGAGACTTCGCACAGGTGGTGCCATTTGAGTTGGGCCTTTAAGGATATGGAGGATGCTGGCTGGTGAAGAGGGGGCAGAAAGAGCCCGGCAGGCAGAGGCAATGGCTTGGGTAAAGGCATGGCTGTGGAAGGCCACGGCCAGTTCAAAGAGCAACGGTGAATGCTGGGCAAGGGGCCGGGCTTCTGGTGGGCATGCCTTTCCTCGGCACCCTAACCGAGCCCACCTGTGTTTCCTCCCAGGCGCCAACTTCACCCTGCGGGAGCTGGGGCTGGAAGAAGTGACACCCCCTCATGGGACCCTGTACCGGACTGACATCGGCCTCCCCCACTGCGGCTACTCCATGGGGGCCGGCTCTGACGCCGACATGGAGGCTGACACCGTGCTGTCCCCCGAGCACCCCGTGCGGCTGTGGGGCCGGAGCACACGGTCAGGGCGCAGCTCCTGCCTGTCCAGCCGGGCCAACTCCAACCTCACGCTCACGGACACCGAGCATGAGAACACTGAGACCGGTGAGTGGCCGGCTTGGCCTGTGCCGGGTGCCTGGGTTGCGGGGCCGGGGTTTTAATTACAGTGTTGATTTTCTGCTCCATGGTTTGGGGCCTCCAGTGAAGTTGGTGAAAAATTGCTTTGTTCTCAGTGCTCAAAAGTCAGAGCTTCTTGCACAGTGACATGGTGTCCCCACCTGTCAGTGACATGCCAGAGATTGGGTTGCTGCTCTTTCCTTCCAGTATATGGAGGCGGGTAAGGGGCCAGGGCATTGTTTACAAGGTGCCTACATGTGTGTGAGCTGAAGTAGCACGGGACGGTGGTAACATCCCCACAGCTGTCCTGTATCGAATCAGTGGCCCCAGTCCTGCCTGAATCTGCCCGTGCCATCTCTAGCCTCCAGGTGCTCAGCAGTCCTGGGCAACCTCCAGGGACGCTGTCCGGCCCCGGTATCTTACGTTGATCAGAGGATGGCCTCTGACCAAAACTGTCCTTTGGCGATGACTTAAAAAAACTTGAGGTCCATGGTAGGTTTTGAAAAGGGTACAAAGTTTCAGTTAGGAGGCATAAGTTTTCGAGGGCTGTTGCACAGCATGTTAATAATGTATATTTCAAAATTGTTAAAAGAGTAGATTTAAATATTCCCAACACAAAAAAATAAGTATGTGAAGTGATAGGTATGCTAATTACCTTGATTTAGTCGTTCCACAGTGTATACATGTATCAAAACATCACATTGCACCCAATAAATATATAATTATTATTTGACAATTAAAAATAAAATAGAAAGTGAAAAAGACAAAAAGTAAATAAATGTAAAAAATTAGAACTTGAGGCTTTGCGCCAGCTTCCGCGTGATCTCGTGGAGCGCCGGCTGCAGTCGCCCCGTCCCACTCTCATCCCCGCGGCTCCTCCTCCCGAGGCCCGAGCAGTGCTGTGGGAGACAAAGATGACGTCTAGTTCATGCGTCTCCTTTTTACGGTGGAGGAAAGGGAGCCCCGTTTCAGAATGTCACCCCTTACTCTCGGGACCGTCCGTGTTGGCAGATGGATATCTGAGGGGCTCTGAGTCCAGTGCAGTCCTGCGTGGCACCCGGCTGCTCAGGGGACTCTGTGTCCCGTGGCACCTTTGCCCCGCCAGCCCCTGGGCAGCTTTGCTGAGCCAGGTCAGCACGGAGGAGGGGCCTGCTCGGAGAAGAGAAGACAAGACAGAGCGGGGCAGAGCCCAGGGACAGCCCCACCGCCTGGTCTTTTTTTTCTGGGAAACCCAGGGAGGAGTGTGGCTGGCACTCCCAGCGGGCAGAGCTGGATGCCAGTGCCCCCTGCTGGCCTCCATCTGCACACGCAGGGTCCCAGTGACTGGCCCAGCATCCCCTGGGGCAGCACAGGGAGCAGGTCAGATAGGAGGGCTTGGATGGGTTAGTCTCTCAAAACGAGGCTCCTGCTGAGTTGTGCAAACCAGGATTGATTCCCAGATTGGGGACCAGGCAGGAGAACCACCTAAGGTCAGGGTCAGGAGGGGAAATGTATCCCTTAAAGAGCCAGGTGCAGCAGAGTTCCAGACATCCATTCTGCCACCCCTCCCAGACGACGCAGATGTTTTCCTAGGGAGCCCGTGCTCTTATCTAGGGGTGGCTGTGGCTTAGGCACTGGCGTGGCAGTATCACCCTCCCCTGGCCCCCAGCCAGCCTTCCGAGGGGGCCATGACCTCAGCACCTGAGGAGTTTCCCTCTCTACATGGGAACCATCCACACTCCCTCTCCCACCGTCCCTCCACAGCCCATGCTGAGCCTGCAGCCCCGCCTCCCACCCCACCATGCACGCAACCAGGCTGCAAATTGAAGGGCAGTGCAAGGCCTGGCGCAGAGGAAATGGGGTCTGTGCCACCACACCACAGGGGCCAGGGAGCCCCAGGTCCATCAGTGGCCTGGGGTGTGGCATTGGGTGAGCTGCATCCTTTCTCTGGACCTCAGTTTCCTCATCTATAAAATAGTAGTTTAAATGAAATTAGCATTTCCTATGTTATGCAAATATTAATAGTTCTTAGATGGAAGAGGGAGTGTTCTGTGTTTAAATAATGTAGGAAACACCAGGTTAAACAAATTGGAACCAATATCTTTACTGCAGGACTTCTCAGAGCCTTTAAGTTGTTAACGTATATGTTAATGGATAAGTTACCAAACTTATGTGACCTCATTTACTCCCCCTACAACTATCTGAAGAAAGTTTTGTTTCCCCATTGCACAGAGTAAATAAACTGTAGCTCAGAGAGGTTAAGAAACCTGCATGGGTCGCACAGCCAGGAGATGGGATTAGAACTTAGGCCTGTATGACTCTAAAATCTTTACTCTTATAGCCCTGATTATAGTGAATTGCTTCTGTAGCAAAATACTTAGGTTGTTTGTTCTTCTGAAGGCTTCTTGCCACGGTGACAGATGATCATTTTCCATAAAGTCATGACAGAGTGAGGTATACACCGCCCACATTATTGCATATTCCCTGAGGGCTGAATTACAGCTGGGTTAAGCCTCTGTTGGGCGATCAGGGCGCGTTCAGCTAGCCTGAAGGGTTTCAGCCTTTGCTCACGGAGACAGGGAATGGCTGCCAGCTCCCCGGGCCCTGCCACCCTCTCTTTCCGATCATCCATTTCCACACTGGCCACAGAACACGAGGCCTCACTGTGCTCAGGGGAGATGGGCAGGCAGAGGAGGTGGGCGAGAGACTCTAACGAAGGGCCCCTGGCCTCTGCACCCCCTCCAGGGGCCCGGACTCCCCAAACCCAGACACCCCACAGGTGCCTTAAGAGCTCATGCACTGGCTCCCAGTTGGGGAGTTACATTAACTGCTTTGTTATACAGTTCTGAGTGTAAATGATGACAGTGATCTTAGGAATGGCTCGCTTTTATCCACCCATTAGGTTCACATCCCTTTGATTCATACTGCTATCTCCCCACCTTCGAGCTGAGGGAACTGAGGCACAGGGAGAGGAAGGTGTGCACAGGGCCGCATGTCTAGTTGAGCGGGAGCCAGGCTCTGTCACAAGAGTCTCTGTTCCTTTCTGGTTCTTCCTTCTCGCTCTGGTCCCTCCTGTCCTTCTCTTGCATCCGTCCCCCTGGCCCCAGCTCTCTCCCTTTTCCTGTGATAAGAACTCAGACCTCACCATCAGAACAGGGCTCAGCCCCACTGGACGCGTTACCCAGTGCAGCACAGTGTGGCCCCTTTTCAGGCACAGAGGGAAGCCAGCAACCTCGTGCTGTGGGCTCATCTCTGCACCTGTACAATTGCCTTTAGTCCTCATGACGACTCAGTAGCATTCCCGTTTGCCAGATGGGAAAACTGAGGCTCCAAACTGAGCTATGTCAACTGGTGAGTCATCCAGTTGGCAAAGCCTGGATTTGAACTCAGGTCCCCTCTGGTGGTCTGAGTCCTCTCTCTAGTCTGAGCCCTTTGCCCGCCTCCACTGGAGCCAGCGAGAATGTTGGACTCTCCATCGAGGCCAGCAAAAATGTGCCACTGAGTGCTCAGAGATTCTCAGCAGATAAATGCAAAGTGTAAAGCACCACCCCAGCAACCTCCAGCCACAGGAGCATCGACTCTGCCTCCACACCCGGCCTTGCATTAGTCAATAGTAATTGTCAACAGTATTGATGGCGGTGGAGGCTTCTGCTGAGGTCACGGTGATGCTGCATGCGGCTGCCATCAATAATAACTTTTATGGGGTCCATTAAAGACAATTTCTGCCCCTGAAGGTTAATGTCAGCAGCTTTTATGTCACTGCTTAATATCTAAAATAAATACAGAATTGACTGGGTAATGTAAACACAAATCTTCCTCCTTGGAGCCACGAGGCAGAGCCAGCCCGCAGGCCTCTCCTGCTGAGAGAGGCCAGCAGGCCAGGAACACAGTCGGCATCTAATAAATGCTTTTTAGAAAGCAGAGGCTGCAACTGCAGCTCCATTCCCAACCTCTGTGTCAGGGAGACACAGCGTCTGTTTTGTAGATTCATCCTGGGATTTGTTCCCTAACTATGCTCAGCCCCTTCAGCGTGCCAGGCGCTATCCTAGACTGTGGAATCTAGATGGGTGGTGCGGGGTGGAGCTGTAACCACCTGGCGGCTCTGCACTGCAGCAGAGGTGTGGCGGGCAGTGCTGCGAGTGGGGGGCACACTAGCTTCAGCGTCCAGCGAGGAGCCCGGCGCCAGCCCTGGTTGTGCCGTGTCCCCGCCGTGAGACCTTGTGCAAAGCACTTGCCTCCCTGAGCCACGGTTTCCTCGCTGGAGAAACAACATGCCGGCGGTTACCAGGGGCTGGGGAGGAGGTAATGGGGAGTTACTGTTTAATGGGGGACAGATTTCAATCTGGGATGAGAAAGTTCTGGAGATAGGTAGGACAAGGGATGCACAACAATGTGGATATAGTAATGCCTCTGAACTGTACACCTAAAAATGATTAAAAGGATTAAATTTTATGTTGTGTATCTTTTACCGTGATAATAAAAACAATACGTAGCATGCCACCTTCCTTCCATGAAGTGTTGCTGTGAGCCTGTTCTGCAGCATTTGTGAAGAGCCTGGTCTGTATTGGTCCTCAATTCACGCTAGCTATTAATATTCATTTCGTAAAGAGCCGTGGGATGACAGTCAAGGGGCTGTTGGCTTCGTCCTGAGGGTGCAGGGGCCCCTTCCTTCATTCCACTCATGTTACACCCCCGGGCTCGAAGGTCCAGCAGGATTTCACTGAGCACAAAGGAGGGATCGGAGAGGGGCGCCCCAGCGGAGCGATCGCGTGAGCCGAGGCATGGAGGCGTGCAGAGGCATGGTGGGTCTGGGGAACAGCAGGAATTCATTCCATGCCTTAATCCCAGAGGCAAATCGAGAAATTCACTTTAAAAAGAAACAATTGAAACAGAATCACAGTTACACGCTCTTCCCCCCCACCAAATTATCAAGCAGCCTGGTGTCAAAAGGGAAATTATTGGTTAACCTAATTAGGCAGCCAAATTGCTCATTCACAGTCAGTAGATTA